GCACAGCACAGGGAGGAGGAGGCCAGGGTAACTGAACAGCCCCACCCACACCTCCGTCCCTTCATGGCCTGACCTTAGAGGTCCACAGAGAGAGAGGGAACTTCCAAGATCCTCCTCCTGCCCCCTTACCGGGCCCTCAGATGGCCTTGGCCGGTCTGAGGGCGGAGCTGGAGCTCGATAGGCCCACAGCTTGGAGTCCAGACCGTGTGTTTCCTGCCGGGCCTCCCAGGGTCCTGCCCCCACTCTAGGCCTCAGTTTATGCATCTTCCCTTCTCTGGGCCACCCACTCTGGCCTCCCGGCCTCTGGCTCCTCCTCCTCTTCCTATTAGTGGGACCCTCTGGAAAGCCCCGCGCAGCCCAGCACAGACACAGGAAGGGGAGAGGGGAGGCTCCTGGGCAAGTTCCTGCGGAGGCCCAAGCTCTCAGCTGTAGCTGTTGGAGCCTGTCATTTCCCCTCCCCGCCCACCCAGCTGGGCGGCCGAGAAGTTTCATCACCGCTGAGTTGTTGTCCTTATAAGGGAAGGGCCTCCAAAGCCTCTCCCTTGGGCCACAGCTGGCTGATAGAGAGGTTGCCAGCCTCAGGGTATCCTCCAGGTGCCAGGAAAGGTGGGGATACCCAAAGGCCGCCAGAAGTCCCCTGGGTTGAGTGTCCATCTGAAGTCACAGACTCTCTAGAGAAAAAACAGGAAACAGTTGATTGTGGCCCCAGGTCAGGACACTAGGGGAGTCTGTTTCAGGTCCTAATACTAACTTGTGGTCTCCAAGGCAAATTGTTTAAGTCTCAGTTTCCTAACCTGTAAGTGGAGTGAATATAAATACATCTTCCTCATGAGGCCAAGTGGGGACGAGAGACCAAACCAGGCCTGCCAAAATAGGGGGTGCTCTGTGAGGCCAGGCTGCTGGGGTTTATCAAACATTTTCTAGGAGGCAGGCCATGGGCTAAGAGCAACGCTGTGAAGAAAGGAGAACTAGCCCATTTTATAGAAAGGAAAAGCTGAGGCACAATGTGCCTAAGATAACTCATTCATGGCTGGGGTTTGAATCTAGATGTATCTGCCTCCAAATCTAAAATCGTGCATTTTCTGCTTGTACCCGGCTACTTCCTCCAGGAAATTTGGTCCCTTTTATAAAATGAGAACAGGGAGGAATTCCCACCATTACCTCTCCATCCTCTATGTCCTCGTCCACCCAGACCCTCCACGTAACACAGAGAAATCTCCACTTGAGTGAGTTTATATGGCATTTTCTGACAGTCCTGTCTCATGTCTCCTGACAGGTCTCATGGAGTGAGGAGAGAGGCTAGAAGACAGGACTTCTAGCCTGGAGGAGGCACAAAACTTGGTGGCTCCAGAAAGACACAGGGAGCTTTCAAGTCCTAGGTTCAAGGAGGGCCAAAGACAGGGGTAACCTGAATGTCCCCTCCCCACCCCAGTCCTTGCTCTGTCCTAGGTCTTGTCTGAAGCAGCCACCTTGTGATTTGCAGAACTATACACTGTAACTTCCCACAGGACTTCAGGGCATTGAGATACCACAGCCTGTGCGCAAAAGGATGACCTTCTCTGCACAGGCCTCCAGCCCGCAGGACCACAGGGAAAGAAAGTTCTCACCACATCCTTTCTCTGCACTGTGTCTGGCCACTGACACCTTCCCAGCCGCTGTTCCCTTCAGGACAGCCCTCCAGAGAGGAATTTGTTTCTGGGCCAGGGTTGCGGGACACCCCCATCAATAAAGGGACTCTTCTCCCTCGCCTTGTTTCCTCCTCACAGATAAGGAGCCCATGAAGGAGAAGTGATTTGCCTGGGGCCCCCCAGCTTCTGCCAGCCAGTCAGTATGACTGTCACATGTCAGGCCAGTGGCAGGGAAATTCAGGAGGGACACGAGAGTCATAGCCATAGTTGATAAGCCCCGGATCAGGTGCTTCCTGTGATGTTGGCCACAGGGACTGTCCAGCAGCCCTGAGGAGGAAGGGAGGCAGCCTTTGGGGAGCACGGTGGTGCTTTCCCAATAGGGGAGTGGGGAGCATTGCAATTCCTCTTTCGGGGGTAAGGAAACTGAGGTCCCCTAAGGCTGATTCACCATCGCCCCTGGGTGGGACTTGAACTTGGGCAGATTGACCTGGGGCTCTGTCCACTGGCCAAAGAACACTCACTGAAGTCCTGGGGTCCTGCTGAGATGTTTTATGGGTGCCATGGGCCTAAGGCGGGGCCCAAGCTCACCGCTAACTAGTCCCAGGCTCTGAGGTTAAAATAACAGCTGGAATCACTTTGCACCATCATAGGAAACACCTGTGTAGACAAGAATCCTCAATGGAGGCTAAACCTAGGTGGGTAGTTGATGAGATACAACATATTTGTGCATGGTCTTAAAATGTCTTCCAGGCCCGTTTATTAATTGCAAAAGTCCTAACTCTCCAGTAGAGAAATCCGACACCTTGACCAGGTGTCAAAACTAACGGTCATAACTGAGGGAAGATAGATGAATACATACCTCCAGATGTGATGCCCTGAGAAGGACCTAGGAGCACCTGGGCAGTTTTCTGGCTGAGACCCCATAACCTCAACCTAATCAGGAGGAAATCTCAACAAGCTCAAAGCGAGGCATGTCCTATTAAAAAGGGAGTTAGAACGGGGGGAAGGACTGTATTCTTAAAAAAGTAAGTCCATATCATGAAAGATGAACACTGTGGAAACATTTCAAGTTAAAGGAGACCAAAGAGACATGTATACAATATCCAACCCTACGCTAGAGGAAAAATATGAAGAATATTATTCAGTCAAATGACAAAATTGGAATATGAACAGTAACTCATATCAGTGTTAAATTTTCTGAAGTTGGTAACTGCACTACAATTACGTAAGAGAATATACTTATTTTTAGGGAATACACACTGAATAATTCCGGCCTAAGGGGCCATGATAACTCTACAGTGACTCAGAAAAAAATCATGTTAGAGAAGGCGTTCAAAAGGTAAACCAATGGGTCGATCTCGGTAGTGTAAGGCTGTTCTTTGTGCTATTCTTATTGTTGCACCTTTTTTGTTTCTATTTCCAAATAAAGCTTTTAAAAAATTGAAAAGCATTGTTCGTTATGACAGCCCCCAGCCTGTATAAACGTGCGTGTGGGTGCAGCTGGGGGCCTGGCTGACTTCAGCAAAGACCGAGCACTGGGGGAGGGCAGCGCCCCAGCCCGGCCTGTGGGAAGGGTGCCCTAGAGCGGGTTTGGAGGGCCGGTGAGGCCACTGATCAACCGCCTACCCCCTGGTTCCTTGATGTCAGCCCTGGAGCGGGCCTCACACCAACAAACAGGCTTGTGGCAGAGAAGTCCCATAAAAAGGGTTTTATTGCCAAACATCAAGAAAGGCGCTTCATAAGCAGAAGACGTGGAATGCCATCCTCCAGGAGGCAGGCACGGCAGCCCCTGCGTTTCCCATCCTCCTCCCCTCGCCCCTTGGAAGCTGGCTTCCTCTTGGTGCCCACGCTGCTCAGGCATGGAGACCCCATGAGAACCAATGGCATTAGGCCACTGAGGTTGGCCCAGAGCTACTCCCTCAGCCTGGTCACTTATCAGAGGAGGAAATGGAGACTCTAGTCCCTGAAAGCAGACTTGGCTAAAGCCTCAGTAGCCCTCCCCAAAGCAAGAGTGCAGGGGGCCACATGACTGTGGGTACTTGATGCTATTCTTGCCCTCATCCTGGAGATGGAGGGACAGGCAGAGTGTGGCATGGGAGCCTAGTGTATCCAAGGAGTGTGGTTTGGGGAGACCCATGGCGGCTCATGCCCATGCCTGCCCCATGCGGCTGCAGTGTGGACATCTAACTGCCCCTCCTGATCCTTGGCTACCACCCTCAAGGACAAAGTAGAAGTAAAGTAGCCATCAACCTGTACTGGCAGGTCTCAGTGGGCACAACTGGTGGCGGGGGTGGGGCAGGGGGCAAAGGCCAGAGCGCGCAGCTGTGAGCCTCCGGCTCCTCTTTCAGTAAACCAAAGTGCACATGCAGAAACCCCGAGTGAGCCTGTCAGGGGCTGCTCCCACCCCCGCCACCCCAGGGAGCGCAACCGTGGCCCTCGGGGCCTCTGCACCTGCGGGCTCTGCCCTCAGTCCAGCTGCTGCCGCAGGATGGCGACCCGATGGGCTCTGGGAGCCAGGGGTGACAGCGAAGGGGTGGGGCAGGGGGCCACCGAGAGAGGCCCAGGGTGCAGGCATGGGCTCCTTTCACTAGGAAGTTCAGGAGAAGCAGTTTGTGTGGGTCCTGAGGCAGAAGGGAAAGCGGGGAGAGGGTTGTGGTTTCAGGCCCCAACATACCCCCTTAGCATTAAATGACGAGTATATTAGACCTGCTTGGGTTGTGGAGGAACCAGAGACCCAGATATAAATTCCATCTGGGGAGGCACATAAGTTTGGGTGGCTTCTCTTCTGAAGGTAGATTTATAATGAATTATATACAGGATTTCCTGATGTTGACGTTGGGCCATTCTGGAGTTCACCTCTAGGAATGTGCGAAGCCAGACCCAAACTGGCCCAGAGGCAGGGACTAGGCTAGAAGAACCTTCAAGTTTCTCCTCCGCCCTGGAGTCCTCCAGTCACAGCTCACCAGAGGGCAAGGCCTGCAGAACAGGAAGGCCCAGAGAGGGGCCACACAACGAATGGCTTTCTCACAGATGCCTCCTACCTGCCTCCGGAGGCCACACCTGGGTGCCAGGTCTCAGCCGAAGGATGGATCTACGGTCTAGACCCAAGACCTCAGCAGCTACTAGGGATAGGCGGGTGGAGGCGGGGTGGCTACGAACTGAAGCTGCCTTTGCCACGAGGCTCTCTGGCTAGGGATTTCTGGACAGAGAGGCTGTGGGGGACTCAGCCGTGCTCTATTCGGGAGCCTGGAATGTAAACTACTGGGGGAGAGAAGCAGATGCGATGCCACCCCCAGAGCCCCCCCCCCTCCCCCGCCCCACCGTGCTGTGCCACAGCCCTGGAGCAGTTTGGAACAACCACACAAGCACGAAAGTCCTGAGTGTGTGCTCCCAGCCCAAGCCAGAGCCCAGGGGCCAGGCCACACAGCCAGACGGTGGCTGAGGGTGGCACCTGGCACCACTGGCCAAGGCAGGGCAGGAAGGATACCAGGAGCCTCTGTAGGTCCTGGTCAAACCCTGGCACAACTGATAGCCCTTCAACAGCCTGAGCAGAAGCACAATTCTCGGCAGGGCTGGGCTTTGATGGACTGGGCCAGCCAGGAGGGACCGTGCCCTGGCCTGGCAGGCCCTAGGGTGCACTTCTCCTGTAGAGGGTCACCAGCTCCTTCCGCTTCTCCTGTAGCCCAGGCGCTTCCTGGCTCAGCTCTCCCAGATCTCGCATCTCCTGCAGGACCTGGGTGGCCTGCCTCAGCTGCTCCACAGCCTGGCTGAGCAACGTCTCAGCATTCACTGGGGCCGGCTCGCTGGCCAGCACCTTGTTCAACAGTTTCTCCGTCTGTTTGGAGGCCACCTGCACCTCCAGCTGGGCCCGGTACAGCCGTTCCCTAGGTTGCTGTGGACGCTGGGGGCCTTCCCCAAGCAAGTCCCCCATGGAGGAGCAGCGGGGATGGAACTGAGGTGACAGGTCCCGGGGGAACAGTGCCGTAGACGTCGCTTCACTCTTTGGGGGAGTTCCTGGGGTGTCCGCGGCCTGGGATGGCTTGACAGGCTCAGGACTGTCATCCACACCATTCACTGAGACCCGTGCTGGGCCTGGGGCAGAGCTCTCAGAGGCCTCAGGACTCTGGGCTGGCCCTGAAGCCTCCACCCCACCCATGGAGGCTCTCAGTTTTTTCGATACGATCTTGGGTGGGGGTGCAGGGGGCTTCCCACCCTCCTTGATAGAAACCTCCAAAGTCTGAGAACAGGGCTGCTGGGGTGGTTCTGCACTCTCAGGGTCAGGGGGGTCCTCGGAGCTGGGGTTCTCCCAGCTCACCTTCAGTTTGTCAGGCAGGACCTTGGGGAGCTGCTCAGGGGAACTGTCCTTCCCCACTAGCGTCTCCGAGTCCTCTTGGCTCTCAGAGAGGGCCTCAGAGCTTGCTGAGACAGGGGTTGGGGCTTTCTCCTCGACAGAGGTTTCCACTCTTTCACCGACAATGGTCATCTCTGGCGCTGGGGAAGGCTTGGTAGGAGGCATGGGGGGCCGGAGTATCTCCCGGGGCTGTGCTGAGCTGACGTCATTGCTGGGGGCAAACGGTGGCGGCCTGCTGTCCAGAACATCGAGGTCCAGGCGTGTAAGTCCATCAGAAGCTGCGTTGGCTACCTGGTGGGGGCAGCATATGGACATCATCTTAGGTGACTGGTCTTTGGGTGTGATGTGCCCAGGTACAGGGGCACTAAAGCCCTCTCATCCAGGCTGCCCAGGCCCCTAGCCCCCCACTCTCCAGGCCCTCCTCTCTCCTCTCCTGTCTCCCACAGAATCCCGTTTCAGGATCACAGGCCAGGAAGGCAGAGCCAGGGTGCCCTCTCGGTGCCCTGGCCTGGCTTTGTCCAGCCACGGAAAGAGGCTGTTCTTTTTAGTGGCAAATGTCCTGGTCTGGGCAGCAGGGGACATGGTTCCAGCCCTGTTTCTGTCCCTTCCTGGCTGTATGGCCCTGAGAGTGTCCCTTCTCTGCAACTATCCATCTGGGTTCCCATCGCCAGGAGACATAGGACCAGGACTCAGTACAGGTCTCGAGAGTCGTCTGCCGCTTGCTCGCTTCTGCTTCCCCTCCTGGGAGATCTCTGGTCTGCGAGCCCCACCTCCAGTGCTCGGGCCCAGACGTCCCCAGCCCTTGCCTGCCCAGCTGCTCCACAGCTTGTGCCCACTTTCCTCACACAGTCAGGCGTCGCCCAGATAGAGGCCGCCCCAGACCACAGCTGACTGCCAGAGGGGAACAGCTGCACCCAGCGGACAGCTGCCACCGCCCTGCCCCAGGGATCCACTGGGACGCCCAGCAGGGAGCCTCGAGGCCGGGAGCAGGGCTGAGCAGGGGGCCTCTCCCAAGTCTCTTAGAAGGTGGGGGTCCTGGCCTGGACCCTCATTCCCTCTTGCAGCACACAAGTGATCTGGCCGATACACACGCTCAGCACGGGGTGAGGGTCCCTCCCTGAATTCTCGCAGGGTCTCCCCTCCGAGGCAGGCCCTCCGAGCACCTCCTAGACCTCCCACCCCCGGCATTCCTTTCCTCGCTGGCGATTTCAGTTCCTTCTGCAGCCTTTTCCTCCTGAGCTGACAGACATGGATGGGCTGCCTCACCTCAAAACAAACTCCCCAGTGACCTTGGCCCCTTCCCTTCTCCCTCTTTCCTCCTATGGCCACCCCCTCGAGCACCCCCGGCTCAGAACCCCATGACAGCCCTAAGCTGACGCCTCTGAGAAAACATGCTGTAAACCAGGGGTGTCCGCCCCGTGGCCCCTGGGCTGCATGCGGCCCAGGAAGGCTGTGAATGCGGTCCAACACAAAATCGTAAATTTACTTCAAATATTATGAGACTTTTTTGTGATTACATGTCACAATGTATTTAACGTGTGGCCTAAGACAATTCTTCCAGTGTGGCCTAGAGATGCCAACGGTTGGACACCCCCGCGTGACCACCTCCCCAGGTAACTTGTGGCTGCCCACCTGGCTGATGACCCCTAGGCCTTGTGCCCTCCTCTCCTTAGACGTGCCACTCACCTCTCTGGAGGCACCTGTTCCTTGGCTGCCTACTGCTCCCCATCCCCCAAATGCAGCATTCATTGAGGTTCTTTCCTGGCCTCCAAGACCTCTACCCTCACCATCAGCAACATTGGTCTGAAAGGGGCTCCTCACTTACCCCTCCGCTTGTCCACACCTTCTCTCACACTCCCTGTGCCCGGGGCCTCTCACTGCCCAGCCTCCAGACGTGGGGGCACCTGACAGTCCTCTGTCTCTGTACAGTCCACCTCCCCCCGCCCTACAGTCAATCACAAGCCCGGGGGACTCTTGTTTTCCAATCTCTCTCCCACGGACCCCTCCCTTTTCAACCCCTCTGGAAGCTTGGAGGTCCCACGGCTCCCCTTCTTCCTGGTCCCCTGCCTTTCCCTCTCTCAACCCAACCCACACTACCCTGGGCCCCTGCAGTACACCCATCCATCCGATCCTCGGTTCCGGCTTTCAAGGTCTCCACCATTTCCTACCCCTAATTCCACCTTCCCTACAGATCTCCAGCCAAAGGGGCTTGGCACACCTTGAACTCCCTTGCCTCATGCCTCAGCTCACACCATTCCCTCCCCCGGCATCTCCCTCACACCACACCTGCAACTGAAACCCTTCCCAGTCTCCAAGGGTCAGCTCAAGTGGGGGTGGGTCCTCTGTGGTCCCTCCTGCCCCAGCCATCCAGAGCTCTCCTCTGTACAAAACTTAGATACAGCTCTGGTTGGAGCCTGTCTTTGCTCTGGCTGGAAGCTGAGCTCTGAGAGGTGTGGACAAGCCGCGGGGGTCTCAGTTTCAGGCACCAGCTCTGGCTGAGGCCAGTGTGGGGACTCAACCCGCACAGCCGGCACACCTGCACCCTGGGCACATCTGACACGCATGCCTCCCACAGGCCCCCACACACCACCCAGAAAGCCCCAGCTCCAGAAGTGCTCAGAAGGGGGCCCGAGCCTGCCGTCCTAAGGAGTGGGACTCCCTAGCTCAGCTGACCTCCCATCTGTCCAGTCTGGGGGCAAAGTCTCACCTCCTTCAGGTGGATTCTTGTAGGTGGTCGGCGCCGCTGGCCCCCACGCACTCGGTCCCGAGTCACATGCTCCAGGGCACAGCTCTTGTCCACCTTTACCTGGGAAGGAGAAGGAAGCAGGTCAGTCCCCACCAGGCCTTGGGGAGAGAAGGAAATGCCCAGGTATTAACTCAGAGTCAGAGTCTGTATCTGTATCCTCGCTTCACAGAGTCAAGAGCCCTGTTGCTGCCTTTCTCTTTGAAGCATCCCCCCGAGTCCCAACCTCTGCTCTTCTCCCTGGTTCTACACTGCCTTTGTCATCTCTCTGCAGTCTAAGGCTCTCCCTCTCTTTGTAGCTGCCCTCTTTGCCTCAATCTTCCTGCCTGAATATGGGCTGTCAGCCCTTGCCCCACGGCCTACTGCAAATATATAAGTAACCCCGAGGCTGCTGCTTTTGGGCTTACTGGGGGAGGGGCAGAAGAGAGCCCATGACCCTCTGGTACCTGCTTCCAGAATAGGCCCTGCCCTGGCCCCAGCCATGCTCCCAGGACCCCGGGGATGGGCCCGGAAGAGCAGGGCTTCTGCCTCTTGGGTCCGAGTATTGAGAGGGCAGCATCTCCTCTCTGAGGGGTGAGGAGCAGCCCCAGGAAGCCGCAGAGCACGACGCACACAGGAAGTCCAGCCTCTGAACCCCGGAGCCACCTGTCGCTGCGATGGAAGTGGGGCTAAGGCTGTCCAGCCCCCAGGTCAGGCTCAGAGCTCAGGCCACCTGGGGTTCAACTGTCTCTGCTCCTCAGAGGAGGAGCTGGCCAGCTCCACCAAGACTGTGGGCTGACGCCCAGCCCACGTTCCTGTGGCCTCCAACACTCAAAATATGTCCCATCACCCCTGTCCCACAAAAATGGGAATTTTCCCCCAGCTAGTGAAGCACTGAGCATGACACAGTCACTTGAGACAGGACACAGGAGCCATGGCTCCGAGTCAGGGGCCTTGGGCAGCTCTGCCCTCCTTAGGTCTGAGTTCTGCCGTCTGAGGGTCGCCCCAGAGGCCTCCAGGCCCATCACTGCCCGAGGAGCTACAGATCCTTGATGTCGAAGGTAACCCTCCGTCGGTGATCTGGCCCCAGGAGACACCCTGTCTGACTGTGGTCACTGCCGCCACCATTACCACAACAGCACAGGGAATGTGTGGCCACTACAGACAGATAAGGAGGCCCAGGGCTAGAGCCGGCCTGGCTCGCACGTCATGGCCACACTGAAAGCGAGCTTTCTGGCTCTCAGCGCCCCCTCCAAGCCTCTCTGGCCTAGGTCCACCCGCTGTTTCCAGCTAAGGCTAGAAAGGACACATGGTTGCAACCAGTTAAATTCTACCCCACCACTTACCCATGTTTTCATTTTAAACAAGTCACTTAATTTCCTTACATCTTAGTTTCTTCATCTGTAAAGTAGGAATGCTACCACCTACTTTGAGGGGTACTGTGAGGATTCAATGAGGTAATGACAGCAGATGCCCCAGTGTTGGTTTCAGTGACATATCAGGGGCTGCCCAGGCTGAGGTGGGGCAGGGTCCTGTCTGAGCACACACACAGCGGGAAAGAGGACACGGAACTGTCCACAAAACTTCATCGCACCTCATCGAAAGCCTTGTTCTTGCCTCGGTTGATCCCTTCATTGAGGGCTTTGATCCAGGATTCCTTTTCTTCCCCACTGGGTGCTTGGAATTTGATGTCGCTGACCTGCAGGGGGTATGGGTGGGGTAGATGGCAGACGGTTAACCGGGCTCACATTTGGGGTTTTAAGGAAGCTTCCCACCCTGGATCCCAAAGTTGGCTGTGAAACAGCTGGCTAAGGAGCAAACCAGAATGACCCCCACAGCAGGTCTGACACTGGGACTTCAGGGGAAGGAAGGGACAGATCCAGCAGAGCAGGGGCTCTCTCCCCGCATACAGCTGTCAGAGACTGAGATGAGAACCGGCCTTGCTCTGTGGAAGGAGCTCAGAGCTGGTCTTGTTCCATGTGACTGCATGCCCCAGGCCAGCTGTCTGACCCCTGGGCTCTAATTTTCTCTGAAAGAGTAGTCCTAGTCTCCTGAGGCTAAAGTGATGGAGGTGACAGGCATGAGGTGTGTCCATTGGTGAAGGCCCACTGGACCCAGTACCACCATCAGCTCTCCAGGGGGCCTCACGCCCAGCCGTGGCCCCAAGTGAAAAAGTCCCAGGGTCTCCTTTCTGGCCTTGAATCATAGACTATAAGAAAGAAAGGGTATTGAAGGTCAATCCCAACCCTATCATTACACAGATGAGGAAACAGAGGTTCACCGATGGGATGAGATTTGGCCAGGGCGGCCTAAAGTAACCCCATGGCTCCTGACTCCACACCCCGCGTCATGCCGCCCCACGGGTCCCTTCCCATCTTGGGCAGGAGCGCCAAGCTCCTGTATTAGAATCAGAGAGCAGCTCAGAAAGCCCACTCACTACCAGACCCCAATGTGAGACAGGACATGATGGAAGGAGTAAGGCCATGCAAACTGAGAGGCCACTTTGCTTGATGGACATAGCAATAGGGCCTCTAAGCTAGACAGACCACAACTTATACAACTGGCTGACTTTGAGCGTCAGTTTCCTTATCTGTCAAAGGAGACCACCATCATAACCTGCCTTGAGGAGCTTGTAAAGGTCATTGACATATTTAAAGTGTTAATTCTGGGTCCTGGCTGGGTAGCTCAGTTTGTTAGAGCGTTGTCCCAATACTCCAAGGTTGTAGGTTTGATCCCTGGTCAAGGCACATGAAAGAATCAACCAATGAATGCATAAATAGGTGGAACAACAAATCTCTCTCGCTCTCTCCCTCTCCTACCCGCTTCATTTCTATCTCTAAAAATCAATCAATAAATAAAAATAAAGTGTTAAATCTCGAGTTGGGCACAGAGTGCTCAGTAGTAGAAATTATCACTATGGCCTTCCTTCTGGACAAAACAGCCCCAGTTTCCTCATCTGGAAAAATGCTGAGAGAAATTAACCTGTCTAAAGGCAGGACCCAGCGCATAGTAGGTACTCAGTAAATAGTTACTGAACGAATGTGCCAAGAAATGAATGAACTAGCCCAAGGTTCCTTTCCTTGCTCTGTTTTTGGGCCGCTGCCCACTCTCTGACCTCAAGATGCCCTAGTTCTTTGTCCTGGTGTCACCAGCCTGCCCGTCCCCCGCCCCGGTGTTAGCGCCTTCCCTCCCGCCACTCCTGCAGTTGTGTAACACCAAATCCGCCTGGCCCCTCAGCATCCTAGTTATATAATTTCCTCCTGGCTGCCTCCTGCTTCTCCTCCTATGGGGCCCTGGGTCCCACCCACTGCCCCATGTCAGGCACAGCCAAATGCTCATTTGCATGACCAGGGTAAATTCGATCCTGGCAGCAGATCTGCAGTTAAGTCAGAAACCCCAGGGCACCTTGGCAACTGCCCCTTAGCCCAGCCATCAGGGCTGCTGGGAGCTCAGGCAGGGACAGCATTGCATTCGGGCTCTGCAAGGGCCCACCCAACCCTGTGACGGGGTTGTGAGCAGGTGGACCAGGGCCAGCTCCTCTGAGCTCAGCTGCTGCTCCCGCTCGCAGGCCCTCAGTTGGTGCGGCTTCTGTCTGGTGCAGACCCTAGCATCCTAGAGAGCTTGAGAGGCACATACTTGATCTCAACAACAGGCACAGCAACAGTGAGGCAGAAAAGGAGCACTGGCCTGAGAGTCAAGATCACCGAGTTCTGGTCTCATCTACCTGCAATGGCAGGCACCCTGCACACTCAGGGCCTCAATGGGACAAGTACAGAACCACTGGACCCAACCCAAACTGCAGCCTTCCCCACTGGCCAGCCCCCTGAGGTGGTGGTGTGGAGAGGGTGTTGGCCAGCGGGCTCCCCTAGGAGAGGGAATGCAAGGTTACAGGGGACCCAGCCCCACCCTCAGGAACCCCGTAGTCCTGGCTGAATGGGTCAGGCACCCCACCAGGGCGATCAGCACAGAGATAGCAGGATACCAAGAAATTACTCCTCCTGCCCCACCCCCACCCTCCAGTCATGAAGAGCCATAGGCTACACAGGTCCCTGCCCAAATCCTTCCAAGAAGCCCCAGGGGCAAAGGCCCTGAGAGGACTTTCGGAGCTAACAGTTCTGGCCACAGAATAGGCCCACACAGCCTGGGAAAGGGGGCGGGGGGCATATAAAATGGCAGAAGGGGACAAGTGGGAGGGGGAGAGGAGGCAGGGAAAAGGAAAGGGCCAAGCTGGCTGAGACCAGCAGGGCAGCCAGGCCCAGCAGAGGCCACCCTGCTTCCTGGCAGCATCTGCCTGTGACCTCATGGCAGGGGCGTGGGGATGGGGAGGCAGGGGGAAGAGGAGCATGCAAGACACTGGAGTCTTTGTTTATTTGATTAGAAGGAAAAAACAGGCCGCCTCAGGACCAGACAGCCGGGGTCATGTGACCTCCCAGTCCGCGGGCAGCCTCACTGAGGCTGGGGAACACCCAGGGTGATAGGAAAGAAGGGTGAGAGGACGTGGGGGTGTGGTACTCTGGGCGGTCTCCCGTGGGCCCTCTGGAGAACTCCCGCACTCTCTGTGAGATCCTGGTGTGGCGAGGGTCAGGGGGCCCTTGAGCTGGAATCAGGGTGCACTGTCCTCCCACCGTTTTGCAGCCCCCATCAACTGCTCCATAGCCCACTGCTGGACTGATCATCCCATTCCCAGAGTCACCCAGAGCCAACCTGAGCCCTGAAGAACTGGGGAATGGAAGGGAGGGTGCTGGCTGAAGCAAGTGAGAACGCAGCTGCGCATACAGGCCGCTCCAAAGGTGACGTCCCACCCTGCAGCGGGCCTGGTCCGCCTATCCCACCACGAGCTGACTTTCCAAATAGGAGAAAGGAGTTGGGCCACGGGACAGAGCAAGGCCCCCTCCACTTCACACCCACTTAAGCTCACCTAGAAACACACAAAGACCCACACAGAATGTGGCCAGGTGAACACACCCCTGCATATAAAGAGGCGCGCGAACACACACACATGCCGGACACACGCTGGACACACAGGTGCAGCCCTTCACGCATAATGAACTCTGCATGTCTCTCAAATCCCCATTTCACAAATATAGCGCCCACTAGAGGGAAAGCAGGCCTCCAGAGCAGGTGAAGGGCTCCAGGCATGAAAGACCAACATGTGGCTCTCCTCTCCTTCAAAAAGCCCTAGGCAGCAGATGTCAAGGGAAACCTGGGCCCAGCCCCATGAATCCTCATGACACTATAAACCAGCCCCCACCTTGGCACCTTGGGCTCACCCCCAGTCCCAGGGTCCGAGACCTATAGTTGCAGGGCAGGACAAAGGGCTCGTGAGTAAAAGACCATGGTCTCCTCCAAGACCCAGAGCCACCGAGGACTGGGCTTCTGGCCCTGAGAGCCAGGGAGGAAACAGAATGGCCTCCAGCAGGCCCAGACCAGACCAGCTCCCCAACCCCCAGCCTCTGTGACTCAGCCCCACTCTGGGAGGTTCCGTGTGACGTGCAGAGGTCGGGAGAGGCGTGACTTCGCTGCAGATGGGCGAGAGCTGGCGAGAGGTGCTGTACATGCCAGCCTCAAATCTGACTCCCTCCTGACATCTGTGAAACTACACCATGTGTCAACACTCACCCGGACTCCCTGCCAGAGACATGTGGTACAAACAGCAAACTTCATCTGCACACACGGCATGTCCCAGGGAAAGAAGCTTTGAGGCAAGAGACTTTCTCCAGCATCAGCCAAGAAAGGAAAGTGCAAGGGGAGGAAAGCAGGGAGGCTGTGTGTCCCTGAGCACTGAGCCCAGGATAGAGGGCCCACCCAGGAAAGCCCGGGATAATGGGGAGGCCACACCTTCCCCTCAGGCCCAGACTGCATCGTGGTGTCACGCCTGGTGGGATGAAGGCCTCATCCCTAGCTTTTCTGCCTCAGCCCGGGCCTCCTGTGTCCAGAGTGTGGGAGAAGGCCAAGGGCCCCACCTCCCAAAGGCTACTTTCCAGCGACAGCATGGGAAGGAGGCCCCAGAGCCTAGGAGGAGAGGGAGAACAGAGCTCTCAGCAGGGCTCTGAATGCATCTCCTATCAACCAGGGGCTGGGAAGACTCCAAGACAAAATGAGCAAAAGATGCAACTTGCAAGCCCCCATATCTGAGCCTCAGGCACACTCCTGAGAATGTGCGGGCTGCATCCAGGGGCCCAGACTCCAGGGATGCCCTTCCCGAGCAGACCCAGCCTGGAGGAAGGTCAGGCCACGGCAGGCACAGCCCTACCTTGTTCCCTGGGGAGCGCAGCAAGATAAATCGGTGTTTCCGCTTGAGGAGGGCACGGAGGTCCTGGCACTTCTCGTAGCTGCCCAGCTCCACTGTCTCCACACACTTCTGCTCATCCTGGGGAGGATCACAGAGGGAACAGGAAATGTGAGAGCCGGACACACCCAGACCCTGCCTCAGACAGTGATGCCTGAGCAAGGGCATCACTGGACTCCAGGCTACCAGTCGATCACCAAGATGAGGCATTCAGACCCCAGTGAGTCTGTGCTGGCTGGAGAGACACCCTCAAGGCTCACTGTGTACACAATATACGGGGCTGACAGTCTGGAGGAAGGGCGCAGGCCTGACTCAAATGTGCCTAAGGCTGTAGGAGAAAAGAGGGGAGGCTTAGAGAAGGGTGCCTAGGGGTCCATGCGGGCCTAGAGACCAGGCAGAGATGTGTGGGAAAAGGTTGCCTGGAAGAGGGAGCAAGCTATCACAAAACGAGAGAAAAAGAAAAGGCCCGCGGGTGCAGCAGCAGAGGACAGCGTGCAAAAAGGCACACTGGGGGCTGACTCCCACCAGCGTGTTTCTCCGCAGCTCATTGGCTTGGGGACAGAGGCTCTCTCTCCGGCCTGCAGAATGGAGAGCGCCAGGGCTCCTTTAAGAGCATGCACTCCCAGGCTCTCATCCCAAAGCCCCATCAGTAGAAGGGCCGGTGGCCAGGACAGTGGCCAGCCTCTTCTAGGCCACCTCTGGACACTGGCTAGACTCCCTTCCTGCCTGCCAGCTGGGCACCTGAGTGTTTTCTCCACCAGATGCCTCTCCAGCAAGCTGCCTGGGACAAGCTCCTCCCTCAGCGATCAACTGGTTCCTCTTCCAGGAAGACCGAGCTGGAACAACTTCCTGGAAGTGGCACAGCCTCACCCTGGCGCTCCAGGGAAACGGACGCAGGCCCTGGATTGGCGGGGGCAGGGGAGGCACTGCCCTGGAGACTGGCCAAGAGGTGAAGGAAACTCTAACTGTTGGACGTCACAGAGAGAGCCCGCAAGAGCACCCACCCAAGACCCCCTTCAGTGCTCTGCGGTTTTGGGTGGAATATCTGGTGTGCAGTGACTCAAATATTTGCAGAAGAAATGTCCCAATTTCCCTCCACAAATCCGCATCTATACTTGGCCTTCTCTGTCCAAGGGTTCCATGGTCAGATTCAAAATTACAAAAGGTTATATTGTTGCTGACATGTACTATGTAGTTAGGCTTACCACGGTTTCTTCTTTACCGAACATGTACAGACATTTCTTTCCTGCCATTATTCCCTAAGCAACCATTTACACAGCATTTACATTGTATTAGGTATTATAAGTAAGCTAGAGATCATTTAAAGTATATGAGAGGATGTGTGTGTAGGCTATATGCAAATTCTATGTCATTTTATGTAAGGGGCTTGACCATCCATGGATTTGGATATCCACAGGGGTCCTGGAACCAATCCACTGTGGATACCAAGAGACTTACTGTGCTACAAAACCCTGACCCTTAGCATTTTTCATCCCTGATTCTCCTGAGCTTCTCGATCACCCAAAAAACCTAGAGTTCCAGTATTTGCTTCATTTTATACAGGAAAAGAATGAGAATGAGGCTTGGACGTGAACTGTTTTGCCCTAGGGGCACAGACCCAAATATAAGAGGCAGGGCCAAACTCAAGCCCACACCATCCGAGTGCCAGGACACAGCTGTTCCCAGTGCAGCGCACTCCTCCTGGCCAGGGGCAGAGGCCTGGTCAGTGCCTTAGCACCAGGCTGCTCTGCACCTGTGGTCCTCCAAGTGCGGAACCTGGTCCGGCGACAGCAGCATAACCTGAGAAATTGTTGGAAATGCAAATTCTCAGGCTCCACTCCTACTGAATCATAATCTTAGGGGAAGGGGCCTGGAAATTTGAGTTGTAGCAGCCCCCCCCGCCCCGGGGACTCTGATGTACACAAAAGTGTCCATCAGAACTTTTACACCGAGGTGCTCAACCTCGGTGGCACTGGGACCTTTAAAAATCCCAATGCCCAGGCAGTATCCCAGGCCAATTACATCAGGATCCCTGGGGGGTGGAGCCCAGGTATCAAACTATTTTTCAAAGCAGGTGACTGCAGAACTAAGGTCCATAACCACTGATTTACCCTCTCTTTAGCCCCTCAGGGAAAGGGGAACAGAGGGCCAGGGCAGCCTGATTTTTCCCATCCAGACTCGATCAGGCGTCTTTCCCATTTTTGTCTCTACACATCTCTTTTTAACTCCTAGTCTCCAACCCCTTCCACGTTTCTCCACTCTACACAAGGGACAGGAAAATCCACCTGGTCCAGGAAGCCCCACGGCTCACCCCAGGAGCCTGAGCCTTGGTGCCCTCCCCCTCCTTTGAGGTCCCCCATTCACAAAGCACCTGCCAGGTACAGGCACCAGATGAGGTGCTAGGGTCACACTGCCATGGGGAAGAACAGCCCGAACTCCCTGCTGGGCCGTCTCTGTCTACTCTGTGCCGCATACGTCTTCTCATCTTCCTGTTTCCCCGTAGTGGCCTACAAAGGGGCAGCCCTCAAGAGCAGCAGGTATAGGACCAGTTTGCTGGACTGAGTGCCTGACGTAGACTGAGACCCCAGGAAGTCCCCACCTACAGGGCATCCAGAGGAAGGCAGCTCTCTAGAAAAGGACCCCCAGCTGCAGAGCACAGCTCACCTGTCCCACGTGCACATACTTCCCCCAACAGGACAACTACTGACCCAAACAAAAAGTCAGTTCATCTCCACCACCCAGATCCCCACGGCTGCCTGACCTGGGTCTCCTCTCCACCCGAAAAGCTGAATCATCTGGCCCTTCTGCAGCTCAGAAAAAAAATGGATAACCCAGCAGGCGCTGGGCGGGGGCAGCATTTTTGGAATGTCAGCTTCAATGACAGCAAAGAAACAGCCAAGAGCCATTCCCACTAGCCTAGTTCCTCACATCAAGGAAGAGGAATTGAATTAATAAGCATTTCTCAATTCCTACTCCTGGGCCAAGCTTCCCATCTCCGAGGGTTAAGTTCTTGAAGCTGCACTGAGGTTAATAGTGTTCTTATTTTTTTTTAAGTTTGATTTAGATTTTTCATGTTTGGGGGATGTGAAATCCTTTCTGCTTCCCAGCTGTGGCCAGATGTGGAGGAAGCCCAGGCAGGACAAGTCTCGCAGTGCCTGACAGGCTGACAGCCGGAGAGCCAGTCACTCAACTCTTGGGCAGTTAGGACTGGAGGATGCTCTGACAATGCCCTCTCTTTATAAAAACACCCCCTGCAGACACCGCAGGGCACCCTCACTTGGTGAGAGCGGCAGTGCAGAATACCTAGGGCGCTGTCTGCACAATTCGTCCAGCCGCTTCTGACACCCCGACTCCGTGAGCCCGGGCCTCGGGCAGGAAAGGCAAAGTGCTTCTCAAGGGTGGCTCCTTTAATCACAGAGATCTGGATGCTCAACCTCTCTTGGCCTGGGACAATTATGAACTTGCCAAGATACCCTGAGGCACGCTGAGAGAGGCCGAGGAGGAACGGGCAGGATGCCCTTTCTGCCGCCAGGCCAGTTCTTCCCCATGTATTCCATCTGTCAAAGGCGTACAGGGAGAGCCCATTTTCAGCAGACAGGCCCTCTGACAGCCTCAGCCCCAGAAGACAAACATCATTTACAAGTACAAGCCACCTTTGCTCCTCAGGTCCTCACTCAGAGCTTTGTTAACTCCTAACATACAATTTTAGCATCCTTGGTTGGCCAAGTTCCAAGCCGGTTCAAATGAGAAGAGACACAAGCCTGAAGTGGGAAGATGTGAGGACTGTGAGAGGCACAAGGACAGCACAAGTGACAACTGGTAGCTTGATATTAAAGGAGAAAGAAAGGGTGAAAAGTACAGTCTGATTATAATTGACTCTGAGTCATCAAGGAAAGACTTAGTTTAGGCTGGTACCTTTTTTTTTTGAAGAAGGCAGAGAATATTCAATACATTTTAGAGGCCTTCCACCAAAAATAAGATGTAGACTTTAGTTGCTGACATCAGTGGGTGGGGAGAGCACTGCATTTGGTTGTGGACCTGGCTCCTTCATCAGTGAGATGCTGAACAGTCATTTGGCCATTCCCGGCCTCAGGATCCATCTCCAGAGGATGTGACATGATGGCCACCCTCACGGGACTGTCAGGAGCAATCATACGAGAGCTCCGAACACGCATGAGCAGTATTATTTTTACTCTCATTGATAAATGAAGCAAGCTTTAGTTTTCAGGAATATTTACATACGTGGAACCTAGTCCAGGGCCGGGGGTTGCAGTGCAGATGTACAGTTGAGAAGGTACACACCCTTATGCCCGTACACTTCACAGAGCCCCTCATCCACGGGCCCTGGACTAGCATCTAGAGGTACCACCCCATGCCGCAGAGACCCAGAGATCAGGTACTCACCCAAGGTCGCACAGCATAGCAAATATGGAACTGATCTTCCAGCTCCAGTTCTGGGGTTCCCCCTGCTGGAGTGGGCAGCCCTCGCTTCGCCCCCTGCCCCAGCACATCCAAGCTCAGAGCCAGGTAGGTCCTCACCTCGTTCTCGTAGACCAGCAGCTGGGCCTGGCAGAGGAGCAGGTAGCGATCTTTCCAGAGCCCTAGGAGGCCCCCGCTGCTCTTCTTGATCCAGCCAGCCTTGTCCGCAATCCGTGCTCCCCGAGGCTTCTCGCCCCCTGCCTTCACGCCCTGTGAGACAGGCACCAGAACACGCCATGAGGGTACCACCATGGGGCCACATAGTCCACAGGCCGTACCAGGGACATATCCCTCTGATAGGTACCTACTGATATCTTCCCATGTGAGCTTCCCCACAACCCCCAAGGCAAATATTCTTAATCCAGAATGAGAAATATAGTAACTACAGCAGCAGCAACAATATTAGCAGCAGCCACCTTGTATCAAGCCCCATGTTACATTTTCACACACTGTCTCATTTAGCCTATGCAACTACCCTCCGAGGCAGTGGCATCATTACCTACATGTCACAGCAAACTCAAGAGAGAGCTAGCTTGCCAGAGTCACACAGCTGGAAGGACAGAACCAGAATTCAAACTGGCATTCTGACTATGTTCTTCCTGCTCCACCATTCTGCCTCCCATGTGCTCGCTCAGCCAGCCAACACATGCTGTACGGAGCGCCTGCAATGTCACGGGTGCTGGAGGAGGCAGAAAGGAATAAACACAATGGATCTCTGCCCTCCAAGAGCTGGCACTTTGGGGAAGGAAGAGCTGAACAAATGAACACTAGACACAAACACATTAATAAGCGTGAAACACTACAAAGGAAAAAGTGAAGAGGGAGGGTGAGAGAGGACAGTGCAGGACCTATTTCAGGTAAGATGGCCCAGGAAGGCCTCCCAGAGGAGGGGACATTTAAGCAGAATCAGAAGGATGAGAGGAGAAGCAGGCAAGGTAGTAATCGGCCTCTCTCTCCCTGCCCTTGTAAAGAACACCCTCTGGCCCTGGCTGAGTGGCTCAGATGGTTGGAGCATCATCATTCTGTGCTTCCCACTTGGGGCATATACAGGAGGCAACCAATCAATGTTTTGATCGATGTTTCTCTCTCACATCAATATTTCTCTCCTCTCTCTCTCTCTCAAAAATCAATTTAAAAAAAAATCTGCAGGTGAGGATTTGAAAAAAACAAAACAAAGCCCTGGCTGGTGTGGCTCAGTGGTTTGAGTGCTGGCCTGTGAACCAAAAGGTCGCTGGTTTGATTCCCAGTCAGGGAATATGCCTGGGTTAAGGACCAGGTCCCCAGTTGGGGACGTGCAAGAGGCAACCAACCTATGTTTCTCTCTCTCTCTCACATTGATGTTTCTCTCCTTCTCTTCCTCCCTCACTTCCCCTCTCTCTACACACACACACACACACACACACACACACACACAGCCTCTGAAGCCCCTGCTTCTGCCCTCAAACAGAAGGCCCTTCTGCCTTCCTCCCCACCCCCATGGGGTCGAGGACTTTGGGGCATCCACCCCATCTGGTGAGAGCTCCAAGGACTCTGCCTTCAACCAGAGTCCTTCTCTAAGACATGGCAGCCAGCCTGGGGCCTCCAGGCCAGCCACCGACATTTTGTGCCCCTTGACTACCTGCTTGGGTAGCTGGGTGCCAGACATATGCCTACCAGACGGGGTCAGAGTTACTTCGGGTCCCAAGCACCCAGCACTGTTCCATTACACATAATGGGTGCTAGAGAAATATCTGTGAAATGAAAATAAAAATACACCCAATTTGCTAGCCACTTTGCTTCAGTGACTGGTACCCACAGCAGTGAGTGTGAAGGGGAAGGTGGAGCAGAGGAGATAAAGAGCAAGTCAGAATCTAGAAAATGCAAGAAGGAAATTAGCACTAATTTTGACTACTTTATAATTTACATAAAGCTCAAAAAGGTGGCCCCGGTTAAAAGGCACAGAGCTCTCCCCAGGGGATGCCCTGTGGCCACAGCTGCCTTTGGAAGGACAAGCCCAGGCAGATGGAAGTGCGGTGAGTTGTCAGGGGCTGGGCAGGGCACGGCCTCCCTGACTTCAGTCAAGGCAAGGGCGCCCTATCCTGGCTCGCGCTGCGCTCCCCACCCCTCTGAACTACACACTCTGGCAGTTGGGAATCTGAGCTCTGAAGCCCAAGTCACACGCACCAGAGGCAAATCACCTGATGTCTCTAAGCCTCAGTTTCTTCATCTGTGAAATGAGGGCAAAGCTTTTTGTTTTGTTTTCTGCTATAGCCTCAGTGCCTAGACAATGTCTGATACATGGTAGGTGCTCCATAAATGTTTGTTGCTGAATAAAGGTATGGCATATAAAGCGGTGCCTAGGATACCCTAAAGTTAGTAAATGGCAGTTGTTACTGTCGTCACTGCCATTCCCTCTGACTCTCAGGGCCCCTCTCTCCCTGGGCCCCGTTCAGAATTTAGAGCAAGGCCCTTTCTGGGCTTAGCTACTGGGCATTACTACCCCAGGAGTTCCTTGGAACGTGAGTGCCTTTCAAGTCTCTCCCTTCCTTGTACATGACAAGAAAAATGGGGAAGTGAGATGGTCCCAAATGGTCTTCCCGGATGGCAGAATGAGGAAGCGGAAGGCTTGCCTACAGGCCAGTATGAGGCACCCTGACCAGGAGAAGAGGGGACTTCAGGGCCCTTTACAAGAAGAGGGAGGCTCTCATAGCCTATCATCTACCCACCTCCCCGTCCCACGTCACCAGAGACCCTATGCTCAGCGCCATGGGCTGCGTGACCCACAGGCGCCTCATCCTCCCAGGGCTGGGAGGGACGAAGTAGGAAATGGGACACCCCACCCCCACATCACACCCTATATGTACCACTGGCTGCTTCCTAGGTCTGAAGCCTAGAGGTCTCCCTTAAACTAGGCAGTAGGGACACTGCTGCCTGGGTGTCCCACCTCTGAGCTCCAAGCTCCCCTCCTGCTTTTCAGAGGCCCACCCCCTGGAATTCACTACCCCATGGATTTCACACCCCTTTCCAAACCCTCTCTATTTGTGACCTCCCCTGCCTGGCTCACTCACTGGACATGTAAAAACCCTCCACCAGCTAGAAGCTCCCAGGATGCAAAGCTGGAAACTTGTGCCTTGACCAGCGTCCTCTCTGGGCGTAGCACAGCAGTGCCCAATAAATATCATGGCTGGATTAACTAGCGAAGCCAGTCCAGGGCCTTAGGGATGGGTGGGGCCAGGATGGGACTGAGGGGAGAAGGTACTTCCGGACGAGGCAGCGACAAGTGAGGGGCTGGAGGCATGAACCAAAGCCCAGGGAAGGATCTCCTTATCAGGAATCAGTCACAGCAACAGCAACAGCCACCTGAAGGGTGACTTGGCTAGAGGTCCTGCTTGCCTGACACCCCTCACCCAGCTCCTTTCCCTGCCCCTCAGGCATTCTCCCACTAGTGGGCCTGGCTACGCCCCAGTAAGTTTTAATAAGTGGCCCCTCCCCTTGGCAGGGCTCACAGGGGAGGTTTTGTCCTGTTCAGCCCAGTTTCTCAGCCTCCTCTCCTCTTGTTGACCAGCTGACCACTGTTCTTCCTGTTTCACCCTCTCTTCGCCCATCTATCCTCACTCAGGCCCTCCCCTGCCCATGGTGGGCAGCTTCTGAGGTACCCCAGACACCAGCCTGGCTCCCCTTGGCCTGAGGCGAGAAGGTCTCTGGGTCATTTATTAAGAAGAAAAAGAAAAAGATGTCAGGTCGCCCTGACCCGGTGCACAGAAGGGAGTAAGAAGGTGGAAAGCCACAACACAGGCCATGACAGAGAGACAGAGACCAGAAGAAAACTTGTTGGCACCTCACATCACAAAGACCTTATGATGACAATCTGTTCCCTTCATCTAAACCCTGTGGTGCTCTGACCAAACTCTGCTAATAACCCACCATGTCAGAGCCCAGTGAGGGGGCAGTCAGTGAGGGGGCAGTCAGAGAGGGGAAGCACGGGCTCTGCCCTACAGGAACCTCCAGTCTGGTGGGGGCAACATGGACCCAGTTTGAGAAAGACCCACCCTATTCAGAGGGACACAGAGCCTACCCGGAGGGATACCTGGGTCCTAGCTCTCTAATGGGATCGGAAAGGGCCTGGGGTTAGTTTGGGAAGCCTTGCAGAAGGCTGGGTTTTGGTAGGACTATGAAGAGAGAAGGAGACACGCACCTTGGCCTGAAGAAGAAGGAAAGACACAAAGGGTATCAAGGATCCTACACTTTTCAACTCCTTCACTATAGAATGAGAAAGTACAACCCAGAAAGGGCCAGAGATTAGCTCAAGATAACAAAGCCAGTCCTGGGTGGGAAAGAGTAACCGAGCAGCCTGGAGCCAGGGGAGGCCAACCCAGGAAAAGGCATGACTGCTAGGACAGTGGGTAGAACCTCAGGGCAAAGACCAGCGTGATTCTTCACACTGGAGTAAGGGTTTTCGACCTTACTCCAGTGTGAAGAATACCTCACACTGGTCTTTGCTGTTTCCAAAGCTTCTGTACATATGATTGCACTTCTGGATCACCTGCTTCCCTCATTTTATAGATGGGAAGATGAGGCCTTGAGAACACAAGCAGACAGATGCCCAGGGCCCAGACCTGCACTTCTTCACCAAGCCTCAGCTTCACAGGGTCTACCAACCCACTGCACAGAGGAGGCTGCTGAGGCTCCACCCTGGGCACCAGGGTGGCTGGGGCATGGGGAGGAAGCTCAAAGCCAGGGGAGGGCTGAAAGCAGCCATGTGGGAGTGAGATGATGAGGCCAGCCTGGGGTCATGGGGGAGAGCAGGTGACTATGATCTAAGCGGGGTATCGGAGAAGCAAAGATGGGACACTGAGACCTAAAGAAACATGGGGGAGTGAGTGGGAGAAGAAATGGCAGGACAAGAGTTAGGGATGCCAAAGGGACGATGTAGGGATCAGGGAGCCCCTGGCTGCATGGGGAAGAGGTGAGCAAGGCCCTAGATAACCCAGCTCTGAGGAAGCTTCTGGTGCAGTCAGTAAGTGGTAAGTGGCAAAGTTAGAAACTCAGAACCAGAGGGAGTGCAGGGCTGGGCTGGCCAGGAGACATGCCACGGGCTCAGGAGAACTTCCCTTAATTGGGGCCAGAGCAGATCAGAAGATGAAGTAATCCTGTCCCACATCCTCTGGGAGAAGGGGAGGAGAGGGCACAGGCAGACAGCCCAGCCCTCACAACAGGGGCCTGGGGCAGGGGAGGGGAGCCCCACCTCTGTCAGCAAGAAACCAGAGCAAATTACAGTGGACTGACTTTGCCCCTTACTTCCACCCACTCTGAGAGAAGGGGCCACAATCACACTGTCAGGACCTCGGGAGGCAGCCCTCAGGCCCTGTATTTCATAGAAGAGGAAACACAAGCTGAGAGGGGAAGTGACTTATCTACCATCCCACAGAAAGGCCGGGCCTGGCCTGGAGGGAACCCTGACACCCTAGCTGCCCCTGAGCAGTGGCCCCAGGAAGTAGGGAAATGGGCACAGATGGGGACACGGGCAGGCCCAGGTGGCCAGGGCTGCCTCAAAAGTGAAGGCTTCATCTTTCCTCCCCGTCCACACAGGCACAGACATGTATACCCTTCCCCTTGTCTGGGAGGGACAGAAGCTGACACCCCCCCCAGAGGACAAGAAGCAAAGTCCTCTAGACTCAGCAGTCCCCTCCTCTAATTTATTCATCCTGCAGGCAAATATTAAGTGCTTACAGTGTGCTTGGATGATGGGGCTACTGGGAAAACTGAGTTTGCAAGTAAAGGGCAAGAGTCACGGAGTGCCTAACCCCACCCCTGACCAAGAGGGTCCTGAGGGGGATGACAGAGGCTCACACAGGCACGGCTGGTCCAGCTGCCCAGCTCCTTCCCGGAGCTAGCCCTCCCAGGGGTGCCGGCAAGGCAAGGGCTAGGACCAGCCCCTACTAGGCCACTCTAGGGTAGGTGAGTGGGTAGGGTAAAGGAGACTCACAGGGATTCATACAGGGGAGAAAAAAGCAACTTCTCCAGTCATCTGGCCACCAGACTGGGCCTCAAGATTCCTTCAGAAAGGGACTCCAGGACCCAGAGACTCCTGGAGACCTTCAACTCCACCATCGCCACCACACACACCCGCCCCCCAACAATACACAGCCTGTCCCCTCAGGATCCGACCTGGCTGGCAAGGAGAGTCAGCGGTAACCGGGGATCGAGCCCAGCACCCTAGGCCACTCTGAGCAGAGCCTCAGTCTCTCCGTCAACCCAATGGGAACAATAACATGCCCAAAGTTGGTGAGAGAAGCCAAGAGATAGTGAAGGAGGATGGGTCGTTAAAGTGCTGGAGACAATCCCTACCCCCACCCCTGCCTATCCTGCCTAATCTCTGCCTGGGTGGGTGTGGGGGGAGGTGTGCTGGTGTCCCGAGACCCGCGGGAGAGGGGCTGGCTGGAACAAGGGCCTGAGCCTGGGACCCCGGCCACCGTAGGCGGCTCGAAGACCCCCCGCCCAGGCCCCCCGCCTGGCTGGCGCTCACCTCCTCCTCCATGGCGAGTCCCCTGAGGTCCAGGCGATCGGCCGCTCCGCCGCTCACACCCAGCGCCGCGCGAGCTCCGCCAGCTCCATCCACGCCCGCCGGGCGGCGGCTCTCAGCGTTCTGTCCCGCCGGCCGCCCGGGGTCCAAGAAACTTCGGGGGGGCGGGGCCGGGGGCGGGGAGAAGCTTCCGGGGGCCTAGGGGCGGAGCCTGAGGATGGATAAAGGGGCCCGGAGGCGCTGGTTGGAACTGGAAGCCGAGCGGTGTTCGGGGGAGGGGTGAATGGCTGGATGGCTGGGGCCGGCCCGGGAGGGCGGGGGAGAGGAGCGGGGGGCGGGGTCGAGGCTGCTGGAGGAGCTGGGCGGGGCCGGGCGGGGGACTGGGGACTGGGAACCCGAGCTGGAGGAAGAGGAAGGGACCGCGCGTAAAGAGGCTTCCCCGACCCGCGGAAGGAGAGGGACTGGGAGGGTAGCGGGGTGTGGGGGACCCAGAGGGGAGCAGGGGAGGGGGTTTCCGGCCAGAGGCGGAGGAGAGGGTTGCGGGCGGGGCGCGAGGGCGGGGCCGGGTGGGGCAGGACCCGGCTAACTCCCTGAGGGCTGGCGGTTTCTCTCTTTGAGGTCTCCTGACCGGAGTGGGCTAGGGTTGCCAGACTGGGCTAAGTTTCCCTGGGCGGCCCAGAGTCAAGGCCACCGAGAGGCTCCGCTTTTTTCCTCCCCGACCCCAGGGCAGTGGCGATGACCTGGTTTTCTTCTCCCTGGAACCTCTTGACAGGGCCGGGCCTGGAACTTGAGTCCCACCCGAAGAGTAATATAACCGGAAGACCTGGGGCTGGGGAGCTGGGCTCCAGAGTCCCGTCGGGGGAGGGGTTTTCTACCTGGCTATCAGGGTTCCCCAAATGCAGTGTTCTCCAGCTTTCCTTGGGCATTGCTCAGAACTGTACCCCTCTCTGGTTCCAGTATCTAAGGGCCACCCCCCTTCCAGTGGTAACCTTACATCCTTGACATCCTTGCTAGGAAGTGATATGTAGGGACTAGCAGAGAATGGTGTTTGTTATACCTTGAACTCTCATTTTACACTTAGAGAAACAGAGACATAAGAGAGACCTAAAAAGTGACTGGTAGCTACATCCCTTTCTCCGGCACCGTCTCCCCAGACCTCCACCGTTTTCCCTTAGCTCTCAGGTCAACCCTGCCCCCACCCACCCAGCCCCACCCCCACCCCGTGTCTCAGCAGGCAGAACTAAGTGCCTGTGGGATCAATGGTGACCTCCTTTGGCTCTGGCTGTCATAGCAGCAGCTGTACCAGTTGATTGAGCTCTCCTTTCACTACCTTCTGATGACTCTCAAGCTGCCAACCATTTCCAGCCCTACTTGGAAAAGGGCAGCCTGGGGACCCAGGGCCAAGAGAGAAAAGATGGAAGCACACTTTTCCTTCATGCCTGGGCCTGGTCGTCTTTGAAGGGATAAAGAAGCTGGTGTGGCTCAGTGGATCGAGTACTGGCCTGCGAACCGAAGGGTTGCTGGTTCTATTCCTGGTCAGGGCATATTCCTGGGTTGTGGTCCAGGTCCCTGTTGTGGGGCATAGGAAAAGCAACCTCATACCGATGTTTCTCTCCCTCTCTTTCTCCCTGCCTTACCCTCTCTCTAAAAATAAAAAATAAAAAATAAATCTCTAAAAAAATTAAAAGGATGAAGAAAATCCAGCCTGGAGATCTGAGAAAATCAGTATGTGTGGCAAGCTCTTGCAGCCACCACATGGTTTTATTCCCTTGGTCTCCAGAGCTGTGCAGTGGTTGCACCCCATACCCGAGGACTCAGAAGATCCTGTATCTGGAAACTCAGATTCCACCTGAAGGAGAGCAGATACCCTGGGGAATTTTTGTTGTTGCACAGAAGCAGCTCAAGAGGGGGGGGGAGGGGGCTGAGGTAGGTGTTGCTATCCACCCAGCTCTTCTACTATGAAGGATGAGCCACTGATAACCAATTTGGCCTCAGTTTCCCCCTCCAGCCCAGGTTTGGCCCTCTGGTTGTTGCCCTCACACTATATGCATTCATATAACACAAATATTTTATTTGCCTTGATTGCTTGTCGGGCCCTACACCAATAGCTGGAAGATAATGGCAAGACCCAGGATCCCTGTCCTTCTTCAGGAGAGAAAGACATGTAAACAGATAAGAAAACGTATGTGTTAAATGTGAGGGTAAATGAAGAGAGGAAGGACACCAAAACCAGGACAAAGAGGCAGGACAAGTATTCTCGGAGGAGAGGACAGTGTGAGCAATGGCATAGAAGTTTGAAACAGGATGGAGTGTGTGTATAGGGAGACCAGGCTGGAGAAGTAACAAAGCTCAAGGGCAAGAGGAAGGCATTGGAAGTTTTGGGCTGTGAAAGTGATGGTCCGTTTTGCATGTGCACCATATAATCAACAAAGTTTATTGAGTGCTCTAAGTGGGGTGCTTTCCAATACTTCTTGCTGGCATTTATCTATTCACTGAAAAGAATTTAGAGACCCTCTCTTATCTGCTCACTATTCTAAACAATTCACACGTGTCTCATTTAATCCTCACACAAGTAGGTACCCATCCATGAAATAAATACAACGGTTAACTTCATTTGACAGAGCAGGAATCCCAGGCTTGGACCTATTTAAGGTCACTTGACTGGTAAATGGTGGTGCAATGATTGAAACCTCATCTGACTTCAAAGTCTATGCTTTCTACTAAGTAACCTGTTTTGGCAGCATTGTGGGACCAGGCCATACGAGATCCAGGCCCCGTCTTGGAGAGTTGATGAGCCAGTAGGAGAGTCTTGAGAAGGGATCTGATGAAGGAGTTCACAGTGTGTGGTGAGAGCTGGTTCCCAGAGGGAGTTGCTGGAGTGACTTGCATTTTAGTGGGGTTATTGGATAGAGGGAGGGGGAACAGAAAAGTTTCAGGAAAAGGGAACATCTCACAAAAATGAGAACTTGTAAAACATCTCAACTTGTTAGGGGAAGAAGTGTAGGCAGATTTGTGTGGTCATATGCATGTGGTGTTGGTGGAGAGTTCGGAAAGGTGCCATTAAGGAGGCAGCAGGAGCTAGAGCACTTAGGGCTTTGAGTGCTGCACAAAAGGATTTGAGATTCCTCCTACCAGTAGCAGGGGGCCACTAACACACTGAAGCAGGGCATGACACAATTTTCATGACTTCTGTGTGAACAATGGTAACAGGGGAAGACAGAGAGGCCCGTTGGGTAGGAGATTGTTACAGAAATCCAGGTTGGAAGTGATGGAGCCTGAACCAGGCCTGGTTATGAACCAGACCACTGGTAGGGACAGATTCAAGAGATAGCAAAGAGACAGAGAGATTGGGACTTAGAGAGAATGGTTTTACCCATTCAATAAATATCTGTTGAGAGTCTACCATGTCTTGGGCACTGTTCTAAACACAGAGCACAAAACCATAAACCTGACAGGCATGATCTCTGCCCTCGTGAAGCTGGGAGACAATAGGCAAATAACAAACATGATAACAACAGAATGTGGTAAGTTTATTGAGGAAAATAAACAGGGTAATAAAATAGTAACTGGGAAGCCCATTTTAGCTATAATGTGTGTGATGGGGGAAGCCTTTCTGCAGAGTAGATACTTCAGCTGAGACCTAAAGATAAGAGAGAGCCACAAAAAGAAGTAAGGTGAACAGAGGAGGTATTTCATGCAGAGGGAGCAAGTGCAAAACCCTGGCATAGGAAAGGAGTTGGTGTTTGAGGAATGCCAAGGAGACTGATGTGACCAAAGCATGGTAAGGGAGAAACGGGTAAACTTGTGGTCATGGCGAAAGGAAGGGAGGGAGTTGGCCCCCAGCTATGGTAAGGACTGTGGATTTTATTCTAAGAAGAATGGACTAGGGAGGCATAGAGGCTTTTAACTAGAGCAATAGCAAAATATGACTCATATACTTGAAAAGATTTATATATTGGAAAAGATATATTTTCCAAACACCTGCTGCTGTTTGGAAAAAAGGTTTGTAAGGGGGCTAGAGTGGAAGCCAGGAATCCAGTAAGATTAGGAGACTACTGCTCTGATCCAGGGGAGAGAACACAGGCTGCTAGCTCTAGGGAGTGGGGCGATGGAGGCAAACAAATAGATTTGAAATACATTTTGGAGGCAGAAACAGGTTTTACTGGTGGATTGGATATGGTAGGTGAAGAAGAAATCAAAGATATGATGCAGGTTTTTAACTTGAGCCAAAATCAGTGATGCCATTTACTATGATGATGAAGACAGGAGAAAATCAGGTTTATTTGATATTGGAGAAAGATATTAAAAGTTCTGTTCTGGATTAAGTGAGTTTGCCATTAGGCATCTTTGTGGAGATAATCAGGAGGACAAATGGAGATATAATCTGGAGTATAGGAAAGAAGAGCAGGCTGGAGATATAATATTGGGAATCAGCCTGTAGTTGGTAATTAAACCATGGGATTGGAACAGACAGGGGGGGGAAAAGGATACAGTCCTCCTACACTGAGAGGCCTGGTTGAGGAAAAGGGTTTAGCCAAGGAGACCTAAAGGAAGCAGCCAATATGTAGAAAGAAACAAGGGAGGGTGTGTTGTGGAAGAGAAGATTTTAAGGAAGGAGGATCAACTGTATCAGAAGTTCAACCAAATTAGTGCCCGCTGCCCAAAGTAGTGCTCTGGAAAGTGGAAGACCTTCCAGGTTCTCTACAAGACTGTCCTTGCAAGCTTAGGGCTGTAAAGCCGGAAAGGCAAAAGTTGAAAGAGAAAGGGCCATAAAATGGAGAGGAAGGGGCACTTTTAAGTTATCAAATGAGATAACACCGAAAATGCATTTGGTAAACATCCCAGTCCCCTGTTGATATCATTGTTGTTTCCGTTGATGAGTTTGGGATTGGACTGAGACCACCGGTGAGAGAGAGATGAGATTTAAGGAAACGGGAGAAAGAAATTGCATAATGAAGAAAATCCCGTTCCTCCAGAGAGCTTGCGTCAAAACCAGGTTTCAGGTTAGGCCAGGAGATCTGGAAGCAGTGTTGCAGTTCACTCCGACCTGACCCCAAGAAGACAGCAGCGAGCAGAGCTCCAGGCGGACGCCAAGGCTGCCCAGAGCCGGGGGAGGAAGTC